ATGGTTCTCTTATGCACAAGAAACCTGTGGTCAGCCATATGACCCTCAGGCACTTCCTCTCAAAACCAGCTAAGCTATATGTTTTTAGGAATCAGTTTTTAGTTGCACACTAAAGTTATTTACTGCCTATTATAGTATTAAATGTTTGAACTCATAAAATTCAAGTATAAAGTCATTGTTTCTTTGAAAATTAAGTTCATAAATGTGAACAAACAAAAATTACTAGTCAGGCAAATCTATAAAACTGAGAAAACTGTATAGACTGACTTTGACATCCAAACTGCTTGAAATATGTTCATGTGCTTGCTCTACTTTGAAAAAATGAAACTGCAAATCATAAGCAGAACAATCTAATAAAGAGGGCAGGGGGCACTCCACCCACCAAATTCATGCTCGGATACAAGGTCTTGGTCCTACTTTAAGGATTAGTGAATAAATGTATAATTATACATTTGAGTCACAAACAGCAAAGTATGTGCTTGTAATTTAAAAATATGTGCCATGTTAGCTGACTTTTTAAAATAACTGAGCAACTGGACCAAATTTGAATGGAAGAGAAAACCTCTATGAAAAATTTATTTGGGTTGCAAAAGTTATAGTCATCATAAAATCTTCAAATGGTATAAAACACCATTATGAGGGTTCAACAAAAGGGTTCCCTTCTGTATGCGTCTACTGCTAATGTAACACAATACCATGGAGTGGGTGCCGTAAACACAAACATTTTATATTTTCACTATTCTAGAGGCTCAAAGTCCAAGACCAAGGTGTCAGCAGGGTTGGCTTCCTGGACTGTAAATAGCCACTTTCTCACTTTGTCCTCACATGTGAGGAGGCTCATGCACATGATATCAACTCTACCAAATAAGAGCTTTGTATTTATGGCCTCATTTAAGCTGAGTTACCACCATAAAGGCCCTCTCTCCAGTCTCAGTGAGGGTTAGGGCTTCAATCTATGAACCTTAAAGGCCTACAATGCAGTTAGTAACTCTTTCCATGTTAGATTTCCAGTCCTTATGGTGTACATAAGAATATGATACTCAACAGACCCTCCATACTGTTTTGTACCTTCGTTTCTCACCTTACAGCAACATATCAGAGATATTCCATGTTGACGTATGTCCATCTACTTAGTTCACCTTAATGGCTGAGTACTATTCCATTGAATGGACATAGTATCGCTTATTTTAGCAATTTCCTACTCCCTGACAGTTAAGGTCTTTAGCACCGGCTGGGAGCCTACTGGTGTACAGGCTGAGAATCAAACATCTCCCCACCTCCGTCAGCAACTGGGGACAGAGTTCTCAGCATCTCTTGGGAGGATGACTACATGAAATATAGCAAATATGGGGGATTTCCTTCTATGTTCTGTTTGAAGGCAAAGGTTATTTTCACTATTGTGTTTTGTAATGATTGTTATGCTCTGCTCAATATTCTCCTTCAATTGGTTTTACAATGGTCTGTTATTGGTTTGATTTCACTATACCTAATTGACTGGACAACTATTGTGAAGATAATGAGATATACTATAGTACCTATTAGTGATAGAACTGTTGGGGGAGGATCGGCAGTGGCTGAAAAGATAAGAAGTATGAAATATAAATAACCTTTATTTTGGGAATGTGGGGAGAGACAACCCCGACCCCCTGGGGCATGGCATCTCCACCCTGGGGCCAGCGATCTCTCCATAGAACACATGGAGTGAGGCACATAAGTAGCTTTGGCTTGGGGTGGAAACTAAGGGGGCATTAGGGATGCACAGGTAGCCCATTGGTCTTTGGAGCCAGAAGTAGATTCCTAAGGGAGGGGGAGATAGGAGCTGCTTGGCTTTACCGGCTACAGTATCCGGCCTGGGCCAAAACCCTTTCAATTACTACTATCTCTACTAGTATCCTGCTGTGAAGTTCTCTACCAATGTCACTACATTGTCTCTATTGGCTTTTTAAAAATCTTGTTCTGTTGTATTTTTATTACATTCTAAATTTTTAAAAAATGAATGGCAAAAAATATTTTTGTAGAACACATTTATGCAACATGTATATCGATGGAACAAATTTTAAAAGCAGCATTGTTAGGTTAAATGAATTTCATATAAAGTTTGGATATATTTTGTTATCCAGAATTTTAAAATGTTGGCATCAATTTACATTCTTACTGACAAAGTATTTAAGAATTTTGTTCCTCCTACCCTATTTCGACACACACCACCATACACATACCCAACACTTAAACTTTAGACCTTTGACATTTAACTAACATAAAGGATCAAACTGTCCCAATCAGATTCAAATCAGATATCTTTCTCAGTATCAAGCTATAGGGAGCAGCTGAAGCTGGAAATTGATCACGTATATGGAGCTGGAGCAAGGCCTATTCCAAGAATAAAGAGCAGCCAATATGAGCCATGTAACAAGTTGTTCCAGCCCAGACACCTCAGACAAGCCAAGCAGGTTGGGATGTCACAGGTCATCAACCTGCTGAAAGTATAAAGAAACATACTGTGCAGTGGTTGAGCAGTTCCTTTTCCCCTATCAGGAGAGAGGACTCTACCTGACCTCAGCTGTTTTCTTTTCTTTTTTTTTTTTTTTAAGTTTTTTTTTTTTTTTTTTATCAGTACCAGGGATCGTACTCACCTGCTTGCAAGGCAGGTGCTTATGCCGCTGAGCTAAATCCCCAGGCCCCCTCAACTGTTTTCTGATTCTTATCTCTGCTCCTTCATCCTCAACTGTTCTTCATTCTGAGAATTTTGAAAGCTGCACTGGACAGGGCTTCAAGCATTTCTAATTATTCCAAAACCAATAATCAACAGCTTAAAACTGATTTATAGTATTTCTGCTTCATAGGAGACAATAGCAACAAAATATCAAAAGCTGGCAAGTAAATTATCACAAATGGCAGACTGGAGAAACAGGAACCCTAAGCAGGTCATGGAGCAACCTGATACTGACAACTAACACCTGAATAAGGCTCAGAAGTGACAAGTACCAGGTAACTTTACAAGAAAGCAAGGTGTGGGCTAAACATAGGAGAAATGATAGAAAATCTACTTAAGAATCAGATGCTCAGATCCCATTCCCCAAACCAGCAGATGCTCAAAGATTCAGACTGGGAGAAAAGCAAAAAATAGGTTCTTTAGCTATGACACCAGGCCCACTGGAGGTTGAATGAAGGTCTTGTGTGGAGAAGATATATATATATATATATGAACTGATCATTGGAATAACTGAGTTTCAACAGAAAATAAGGAAGGAAATAAGTTGGCTGGAGTTCTCTTAGTTCAGTGCTATTTATAACTTTCCAGGCTTACTAGTATATGTGATTCATGTTAACTGTAAAATGACATTTTCTAAATTTTCACAACTTTGGAGGATAGTCAAGGGGACTTTTTTCAGGTGATTAAAGGGTAGGACCTGCATACACCTTCCCTAAGCAATCATAACAAAATAACTGACAGTGCTAAGGAATTATGGTTAAAATTAAAGAGCTGTACAATGAGATATACTATAGTACCTATTAGTGATAGAACTGTGGGGGGAGGATCGGCTTAAAATTAAAGAGCTGTAAAATTAATGAGCTGTACAATGACAATGCCTGTATGGCTCAGTAGTCACACTGCCTTAAGTTGCCAGCATAGAGTTGAGGCTGTAATCGGCTAAGGCAACAAAGCAGGGAAAACTCATAATAAGCAAATACACAGATATAAAATCAACTGTAGGTGAAAAACAGTAACTTCTGTGTCATCTTTATAGTCAGGATAGTATCACCACTATGCTCAGACAGGGATACAAACTAAAAAGCTTCCCTCCTAGGTGGACCATTTCAGTTCATATCAGCCAGGTTCTACTGAGTGAGTCTAACACTACGATTTCAGAAGCACCAATTTATTAACCCCTTGGCTCACTGTTTTCTGAACATGCCAGACCAATTAAGTCAGAATCTGAGTAGTAAAAGCTTTGTAAGTGATACAATCCCAGGTGATTCACCTAGAGTTGAGCACCACTGCCTTAGCCAAGGCATCTTTCAATTACCATATTTTTAAATCACAACCACTATCAACCAGAAGCGGCAGTGGGACGATAGACTGGAGTGTTCTTTCCCTTTCCGGTCTCCCACAGCTTCCCTCCGCCTATTCTCTTGTCTTTTTCTTAAACATCGGTTATTTCCTTACCTTTATTAAATAAATGGCACAGTATTTCAGACAGTTAAAACACGGTAAGAGCAAAGGACTCAGATATTAAGTTAAAAATACATGTAGTAAATAAATTATTTTTAATGCGTTAAATAATCCAGCCAGGCTGCAAAGAGGAAAGAAAAGGGGGAAAAAGGAAATCTCCGGATTTCTATGCCCAGCTACTTCAGGCTGGGAGGTTTAAATAGGTATACCACTAAATACGCGGGAGGTGAGAGTGAGAAAAACAGCAGAATGGTTGCACAAGAGTCACTTCCCACTGAAACTTTCAGGCTCCGGTGTCTGGATGTGGTCCCGTTACAACGAAGGAATAAAGGGGAAAGAATACCGAGTCCTGGCGCCAAGCCTGTCCCATCTAGCGATGTACATACACAGAAGCTGGTGTCCTCTCCGGATCAGTGACTGCTGCTGCCTAAATGAGCAGACCGGACTAGCGACTCTCACCAGGTCTCTTCCAGTCTAACTCTGCCTCTACAATCAATGATCCGAAGCGGATCTTTGCACGCCTCACTCCTCTCGCTCGGCCTGGGCCCAGGCCTGACCCCAAAGCACCACCTTCCCACCACCTGTCAGCCCGTCGCCAGCTGGGCACCCAGCCCTGCCAGACTCCTCCGAGCTCCCTCCAGCACCGCGGAGCGCGTTCCGCGTTGGCGCGATCCGACTCAAGGCCAAGTCCTGAGAACCTGCTGATCCTCACTTCAACTCCGAGCATCCAGTAGTCTTGGAATAAGCTCTCTCTCTTCCAGCTGCAGAAAGGAGGCCAAATCGACCTCTTCGACGATCTCCGAGGCTGGCCCCGCCCCCTCGCCTGGCGCCAGGGCGCGGAGCACCGATCGAACCGATGAGCGGGGGCGCAGCTCCGGCGCAGGCCGTCGCCGGGTGCGCGCCCACTGTCTCCCCTTGCCCTCTGTCCTCCGCGGCTCTCCGCTCCTTCCCTAGGCACCCGCGTCCGCCGCACGCTGCCCGAGAGAGCTGCCGGGAGCTCCCCGGAGCCTCAGGTACTGCCGCCGGCCTGCTGCCGCGGGAGGGGCAGGTGCGAGGAGGAAGGAGACGGAGACGACGCCCCTGCCCGCAGCTCCCCAACGTCCGGCCCGGCAGGCGCTGGCCTGAGGGGTCCGGGAAGGGAACCCCGAGTGGGGAAGGCTGGGAAGGCGAGCGCTGGGGTGCGGGTGCGGGTGGGGGCGGTGGAGAGGAGCGAGAAATGGAATTGCAGGGCTCCCTGGGGAGGTGGGGAGAAAAGAGAGCCCAGGGTGGGAGCCAACCTGGCACGGGATGGGAATCCTGGACCCGGAAAGGCCAGAGTCAGGAGCAGATGTTGGGGTACGTGACCTGGTGCGATGGGGGGGGGGCGGTGTGGAGAATCTGAGCGGGGCTGCCAGCTGGAGTAGACAAAATTGATTCTTTATTCAAGGGCTTCCGAGAAAGAGCGCCAACCCTGCTGCGTTCCTGATGGCCGGAAGGCGAGGGGAGTGTGAATCTTTACCCTCTACAGCTTTTGCTAGTGCCCTCTTCAGTCTGGGTCCCTCCGAGTCACTTTATTTCTGTGAAACTGCCCCCGACCGAGACGGCTGAGGAGAAATGGACCAGCGGAATAGGAAAGGGAATAGTGGCCGGTGGCTGGTGGCTGGTGCCTGGGCTGTGGTCAGATGCAAGGTTTTTGTGGAATGCAGTACAGAGAGGGTCGTTGCTGTTGTTGTGGTTGTTTTTGTGGTTGTTGTTTTGTAAAGCAAAACATAAGCTAGCATTTATTAAAGAGCAGGTAACAAGTTTAAACGTGTAATGGAATAGAAAGTGCCATTGAATAGAGAAGGTGCTACTTCAGAAGATGCATGTGGGAGATTTTAAGTATATGACATTGCTTTGAGAGGCACAGGACATTAAAGCTTAAGTAAATTGTGTGGTCACGTTAACCTTCAGTGGGGAAATATGGTGGCTCTCTTATTTTCATATATACTTAACCTGAACTGGCAAGAATTTTTGGTAGATGAAATCCTAGGCAGAATACGTATAATTCTAATTTCTGTCCACAGTTTATTTCTACTAGTTGTTTGGTACACATATTATCAGTGACCCAGTGGTCCATCAGGTGTGGCAAATTAATTTGCCTGCTGATTTGCCGATGGCTTTTCTGTTTGTCAGACTGAGTTTCTTGCCTCTCTGAGGTGGATCCTGTGGAACCTTAATATAAGATTTGCTCTTCGTTAAAGTTTTAGCTTTTTACTTCATGTAAATGCATTATATAAATCCGTTGTTTGCTGAGGGTTGAGGCTACCCCTTTGTAGGATTTAAAATATAAATAAAATACAGATATAATTAAAGGCTCTAGTTCTTCAATTATGTGCTTTGTCATCTGTTTTTCCGTGCATTCAGTATCATTCTGCATGAATGAATTAATCTGAAATCAAAGCATGAGAAATAAAGTGGGTCAAATGTACATGACAGAAATATTGGGAAATAAAGAAGTAGAGCTCTTAGGTAGCAAGAATTTGGTGTGTATTCCAAGAGATTCAGTTTCTGGCTTGGAAGCTTTTTTTTTAATCAAAGAAAAATGTATTTGTTTTTGACAAGAAATTGAATTAAAATACTCCTTTGATTTGGTTTATTAAACTATAACCCGATCTTGTGTAGTCTTTCTCTTGTTAGTGTATAATGTTAACCAACAGACTAATTTTTAACTGGGTCTGATTCAGACATCGTCAAAAGCTCTTACATAATATCTTTATGAAGCATATAATGTCTAACTGTACGTGATTCATTTCCTATGGAAGAAGATAGAGGGCTACTATGTTTCTAGACTACAATTGTATGACCCAATAGCAACTAATTGAATAAATATTAAAACTAATCATCCATATCCTTTGATTTAAACTTTTTTATATGTGTGTGTGTGTGTGTGTGTGTGTATATCTGCTGTTTCAGTGAATGAAGGGACTGTCACTATTGCTTATCTTTACTGAGTCTTAGTTTTCTCCAGATTTCTTAGTGCTCACTTCCAGGTTTCATAAAGAATAAAAGAGAAAATGCACATATAACACTGAAATGAATTGTTTCTAAACTACTGAGAAAATGCATATGTATTTGGGTTCAGCACATAGGAAACATTCAGTACATCTTATAGCTATTCTGAATTCCTAGCTATTTACCTGTCATCTGGTCCAAAGTACTGAAAATTCGTATTTGCATAGGACAGCCTTTTTCCAAGAAAATTTTGATTATGAGGCATACACAAGCACTTTCCTGGAAAAAGCACAATGCATATTAGCATATAAAAGGGTGTGAGGCTGGCTTTGTTTAACCTAGTTGTTTTAATATACAAAAACCAAATTGTTTCTCCTCTCTTACAACACAGAACCTTTCTATGCCTTTTTTTTTTTTTTTTTTTTTTTTTTCCTTTCTTTTCTGGTACCAGGGATTGAACTGTGGACCTTGCGCTTGCTAGGCAGGCGTTTATATCACTGAGCTAAATCCCCAGCCCCAGGACATTTCTGTAACCCCAAAATGTGTGGAAATTTTTTCCCCATCCAAAAGTAAGCAATTTTGCAGCAGATTCTCCAGATTATAGCAGCTGACTGTTTTAATTTAATTCCCATTGTTTGAGAGTGCAGGGCCACAAGCTGCCCCTACTACTGATTCTTGTTACAGACCTCAGGTTGTTATGCTTGTGCTTTTGATTAGCCAGCTATAAATTGGGGTGCTCACAGTTTCTTTCTTAGATTTAATTAATTTTTTAAAGAAGCTTGTAAAACTCATGGAAACCCTACTTACATTTAGTATGAAGGGTATCACAAACGGTACAGATAAATAGTCAGATGTAATAGATGCATAAGGCATGATACGGGAGAAAGGGCTCAGAGTTCCCATCACCCAGTGAGGCATTCTGCCCTGCAGAACCTGTTTGGCTCTCTAGAACTCCTTTTGGGTTCTTATGAACACTTCATTAGTAGCCATAATGGATTGTATCGCTGGCCATTAACAACCTGTTAGCCCTCTGTCCTTTCTAGAGGTTGGGGGTGGGGTGGGGTGGCACTGAAACAGCCCAACCTTTTAGTCATGCTTTGGGCTTTCCTGTGGGAGGCCTCTATTCTGAAGCTACCTGGGGGGGGAGCTGCCAGCCCACTGCTCATCCCATTAGCAAAAACAAAACAACAAGAAAAACCCACACATCACTGGGGAGAGTCTGAGGGTTTTACAAACCATATGTGAAGAAACAAGAGGAAGATCTAAGACAGACAGATCTTAGTAGTATTTAACTACACACACACATAATTACTGTCTTGTACATCATAATACCACATTGTTTGTTACCAAACATAGCTTTTTTCTTGGAGCACCTGTGGTTCATGATAGTTTACAGATATTTTGGATGTATTGTTTGATATGACTATCCCAACTCCATGCAGAAGCATGAGAATCACTATTCAACAGTTGCTTACACAGCTAACTCAAAGTGAGCTAGAAAAGTACTATCTTCTGACTCCAAGTGAAAATTATAAAACATTTTAACATTTACACAGAACCACCTACTATTTTACTCCCTTTTTTATGTAGTTGTTTTATTTTATAAAATCCTTTATTTACTCATTTTCTCCATGTGATTTCTTAGGGAAGTTGCATTCATTAAACCTAGTAAGTAGACCTGGGTCACTGGATTAGAGTAATCAGAAAAGTAAGGGAAAGCCCACCATACAGGGCCTCATACACTGAAGTACTTCATCTTATCACTGCAGTGTCAAATCTAGTGAAATTTATTTTATCCTGCAGGTGGTGATACTTTACTGGGAAATAAAAAAGTACTCCAGGAATAAAAAGTATGCCTCCCAAATTTAAACGCCACCTAAATGATGATGATGTCACTGGTTCGGTGAAAAGTGAAAGGGTAAGTTCACAGCCTTGTTTTCTTTTCTTTATTTTTGTTTTTTTTTTTTTTTTGAGACAGAGTCTCGCTGTGTAACCCAGGCTGGCCTCAAACTCATGGCAATCCTGCCTCAGCCTCCCGAGTGCTAGAATTACAGGCATGTGCTACCATGCCCAGTAAGTTAAAAATCTTAAGCTTTGAAAAAAGAAGTATTCAAAATATGCCTTCACTCCCTTTATAAATGATTAAAACAAAAAATCTGCAGCTTATAGCTATTGCAGGGGCTGGAAAAGGGTTGGTCATTTTTCTGCTCATTCTAAAGGATCATGACTGATGCCCTGAGACAGAAGGCAGGTTAACAAGAGAAAAGTGTGACAGATTTATTTGATCATAGTTTTACAGGACGCTGGAGCCTTCAGATTGAAGGCCTCAAAACCCAGAGTGAACTCTCCATTTTTATGCTTAGCATGGCTAGTTGTGTGCAAATATGTTTGGACAAAAGAGATGTTATGTAATGGTGATAGACTGGGGGAGAGAGGGAAACTCAGGAGGCCTGTCCATTCAGATTCTTTTGGCCTTTATGTATATCACTCCTTGCTTCTGAGTGCTGGCTAGGACCTTTGTAGAACGGAGGTCTTATCACCTGTAATTACACAGGGTCTCTTAAGAGGATGAATTTATAGCCAACTCTTTAACATGGAAAAAAATGGGAGACAGTTGAGGTAATATTCTTGAATTGTATGACTGGCTTTGAGGAACAGGGTTTCTGGTTTCTATGACACACTTTAGGAAAGAGAAATTTGTGTAGAATTCTGTGGCATGGCTTGGGAAAAATGAGAGTGAGAGACAGGAAAAGATCAGAGACAAACTTTCCTGCTGAGGCAGCTTCTGAGTCCTTTGCTTTGGGGTACCATTTCTGAAGTACAATAATCTTACTTGTTTTATTCACAGTAAACATGTTAAAAAGGTTGATGGCTCAACTGAATCCTCTTTTCAGTATTGATCAAATCATTGTGTTCACAGTTTGAGCGCAAATTACTTAGCCTAGGCCAGCACTCCAAATACATTGTTTCTTAGTCAAATGCATGATTATCTAACTAAATGTATAAATGAATTCGCTAACATCACTGCAGACCACGTTTTCCTCCAAGTAGTTTCAGCACCAAACTTAATGGAGCCAGTGGCTTACAGAAGTTTTTAGATCTTGAAATTGTAGATAATAAATTCTAGATCTGTATTTGTCTCATAGTCCAGAATATCTTTCTAAAATACTTCAAATATAATTCATTCCAAATTCTCTACATAAATATATATAAATCTAGAAATTAAAGGCTACAGTGTAGGTCAGTGGTAGAGTGCTTGTCTAGCTTACAGCAGGACTAGTTCATTCCCTAGTTCCTTAAATAAAAAGAATCAGAAAGGAGAAAAAGGGGAGGGAGAAGAAAAGGAGGAAAAGAGAAGGAACTCTGGAAAATACTCTGTGCCGTACTTTGGAAAATAACATTTGGTACAATTGTTAGAGAGAGAACTTTTAGAATAAGTGCTGAAGGAATATTTATTTGAATTACTGTTCTTTTTCTTTTTTATCCAACAGTCTGAAACCCTCCTCACTTCCCTTGTCATTATTTTACTTGCCAATTCATTGAATAAATATTTATTGACCACCTACAATGTGCTGATGTTATATCAGAACCTGGAGGACGTGGGCATGGTCACTGCCCTTAGAAAGCTTTTTAGTCCACCTGACCTTATTTTCTGTGCTCCTTTTTTACAGCCTTGGAACCTCATAAGCTCATATTATCCACTCTCTCCTGCATTCAACATTTTATAATTTAGAATTATCTTTCAATGCAATCCAAAAAAGTTCTTTCTCTTATTCTAACTCTTCCTACATTTATTTTCCTAATTTGATGGGGACTAGAACTCACTAAAAGACTAATTGCTAGTTTTTTGTTTGTTGTGTGGTTGGGATTGGTTTGTTTTGTTTTTGAGAGCATCTTGTTAAGTTTTTAAGTAATCCAGGCTGGCTGACATTGAACTTGAGATACTTTGCTGCCTTAACCTCCCGAGTGGCTGGAATTATAGGTGTGGGCCATCATATCCAACATTAGATTTTTTTTTTCTAGTCCTGAGGATGAAACCTAGGTGTTTTTAAAACAAGCTTTATGTATATATTTAGAAATACAAAATGTGCCAGATATGTTAGCACACACTTGTAATCTAAGCAGTTGCTGAGACTGATCAGGAGGATCACAAATTTGATCTCAGACAGGGCACTCCAGGCAAGACTTAGGCAAGATTCTGGGTTAAAAAAAATTTTTTTTCTCAGTTTTGCTGAGGCTATAACTGTGTTGTTTTCTCTTTACATTGTGATTTGATTACTGACACAATTTGTTATATAAATAGTATGTTAGATGCCATCAGAACTTGATAAAATTGACAGTGTAAATAGATATTTGCCAGAGATTTGATAACTGGTATAATTATCTGTAATTACTTTTTAAAATTTTGTTCTTTCCTATTATGATTTTTAATAGCTTGATTGGTGTAACTTACAGGTTTCCTTTTTAACTTACAGTTTGCCTAAAGTGTACATTTCATTGGGTTTTAGTGTACAAACAGTGTTGTGCCACCAACACCATACTCAATTTTAGAACATTTTTATCATTCCTAAAAGAAACCCTTTAGCATTCATCAGTCACCCCCAATTTTCTTCATCCCCTCAGCCCTAGACAGGCAGAAACCTATAGGTTTACTTATTCTGAACATTTTCTGTAAATGAAATCATGTAATTTGTACCTTTTTGTGATTGGCTTAACTTAGGTTAATGTTGTCAGCAGTGTATGGATGAATATTTTACTTCTTTTTACTGCTGAATAAAATTCCATTGTACAGGTGTGCTACATTTAGTTATTCAGTAGTTGATGGACATTCATATCTTGAATATTATGCATGCTCCTGCTGTATTGGCATGCACATATTTGTATGCACATATGTTTTCCTTAGGTATGACAGTATTCTAGTGACCCCCGTACTCAACCCTTTAAGGAACTGCTGACTTGTTTTCAAGGTGCTTGCACAGTTTTTATATTCCCACCAGCAATGTGTGAGGGTTCCAACTTCTCCATATCCATATCAATACTTATTACTGCCTATATTTTGTGTGAAATGATCTCATTGTATCCCATTACATTTTTTTTGAGCATTGTATCCCTGACATTCATGTTTGTTTAGTGAATGTGTGGAAGGCCCAGATTTTCATGTCTGTTTCTTGGTGTACAACTATAATAAATATACTTTATATTTAGATCATCTTCTAAAACACAAATTGGATCATAATCCATTTTGTTCTTGTAACCCAAGCAGCTTTTCCTTTGATATTTTCAAGCTGTATTGTTAAGGTGTATGAACATTGCTTCCTCCCTTCCTTCCTTTCATTTCTTACCAAAATGAACATACAAACCTGCTTTTGCCTCCTCACTTCATGCTCCCACTCCCAGCTTCAGAGATGTATTAGGAAAGGTTTTTGGTTTTTTAAAACTTTCCTTTATTGGGGAAGGGAAAAAATGGCAGCTTGCTAGAAAGCTGGATAGAGAACCTCTCTGGGAAAAACAGCCCAGATGCTAGAATCTGACAACATGGAGAGGGCCAGATGATTGGAGAAAGATTCTCACCAACCCAGGAGGACACTGAAAGAAAAATAAAATTAGGAAGAGGAACGAAAAGCGCGGGTGAGGGCTGAAGCTTGACACCCTCACTGAGACCTGTTCTGTGCTATGCTGGGCACACCATGGAGTCGGACAATTCAAGGTCTCGCTGAAGCTGTGGCTGCCGATAACAGTTGGTGAGTTGGTGAGTCCCGGACCCTTGGCTGGAGGACGCAGCACAGTGTGGAGTGGAGCCAAGGCAGAGCGCTTTATTGGCTCTCAGTGAGTGCTGGAAATTGGGCCCCATGTCGTGGGAGGCTGACTGGAAGACATCTTGGAGTAGGGCAGAGCCCGGTGCTGCGGTTGCATCAGTCAAGCGCTCCTGGCCCAGAGAGGACTGGTGTGAGCAGCCTGGGCTGAACCACACTGCTGGTTGGGAACCAACAGCCAGGGACAGAATTGTTCCAACCCTGTGACGTCTGCCACAGCACAGTGTAAAGTGCTGAAGGCACTTGCAGGTTGACTGCCTCAGAGGGGAGGAGCCAACCTGCAGTGTCCCTGTGCTCACCTCAGATATCAGCAAACTGGAGAGAGCAGCAAGCCCTCAGCCAGCATGCTTTAGAAAAACTAAGGAATACAGAGAAGGCCTGAGCCCTCCTCCACGCACCAGTCTGAAAGAAACCAGAAACATGACAAGAGCAAAAGATAAGACAAAACCTCCAGCCTCTGACCCTGGGAAAATAAGCCCAGGAGAGGTAAATACAGAAGAGAACCAGTCCAGCAATCATGCAATGTAAGCCACAACATCAGCAGACATAAAGAAATACATTCGTGATTTCATAGATGAACTTAAAACTGAAAATTCTAACCCAAGTGAGACAAGAAGTAAAAAGGTTAATTAAAAAATGCTAAGCCCCTCTCAAGAAAACACAGAAGGAAGAAGGGAGGAACCCAGAAAAGGAAGAGAAACCTTTGGTGAAGAATATAAACAAAATTTAGAATACATGAAACAGATCCAACGAGACTACCAGGAAACTAAAAATTTCATTGAAAGCTGGCAAAATGCCTTGACAGAAACTAAAGTTAGGATTTTGAATCTTGAAGAGAGATTTACAATGTATGATCATGAAAGTAAAGACCTATTAAAAATAACAAGGAACCAAGAAATAACAATTCAAAGGCTAGAAGATAACAAGAGGATCTATAACAAGAATAAAAAATGTAAGCGAAAAAGCAGGAGTAACCACAAACAAATTGCAAAGACTATTCACAGAAATAATTAAGGAAAACTTCCTAAGCATAGGAAAAAGAAATGATACCCAGATAAATGAGGCATACAGAACTCCAGCCACCTACATCCAAAACAGATCTACA